TAGGTCCATCTGTTGCTTTCTCTCGCTACAATCTCCCTGACATCTTTGCAATCCAATCAATAATTTCCCCGATCTTTTACAATTATTTCATCCTATCATCTCGAAGTAAACCTGATTATTCAAAATGCAACAATGATCTTTCCCATTTTTAATTAAAATTATTAGATGAATCAAATAAAAAACAAAAGAACAAAGAAAATAATAAATGAAACGAGCTCCCTTTTTTCTCTCTCCTCTTTTGCCGTTCAAAATAAATAAATAAATAAAAAGGTAACGGAGAGTTATCTATAGGAATGACAACGGAGCGGGGCGGAGACGAGGAGCCTCTCCCCATCCTTGTCCCCGCAAAAATCCTCACCACCATCCCCGTCCCTGTCCTTGCTAATGGGGACAAGGTTATCCCCATCCCCGTCCCCACGGGGATCCCCATTCCCCGTGATTTTTTATAATGTTAACCATTTTGTTTTTCTTTAAAAAGAATAAAAAAATAATTAAAATTTACAATCCTATTAGAAAAGATTCAAACATATCCAACCATATTTTTAATAATATTAATATATAGATATATGAGTACATATAAACATATATAACGTATGCATACATATATACATATATATATTAGTGGGGATCCCATGAGGCGGGAATTGGGGTCCCCGCGAGGCGGGGAGTGCTCTCCTCGTCCCCGCCTTGTCCCCACTAATGGGGATGAAAATTTCCCCATACCCATCCCCATGAGGGGAAAATCATCCCCATCCCCACCCCATTCGAGGCAGATCCCCACGGGGATCAGGGAAATGGGGAAAATTGACATCCCTAGTTATTTGTACTTCCGTCATAGGTCTCTAATGTTGGGGCCTTGAAATTTGAAAGGAGGGGCTCAGAGAGGATGGAATCTACAAACGCCTTCACTCAGCCAAATGAGGCAAGGCAACTGGTGGAAGTGTCACCATGGCCCTCCTTTACTTACCGAAGCTGGTCCAGAATGGTGCCAATCTGCGCCTGAATATCTCCAAGGTGCCGATCAATGTATGACATTGTCGCTTCGATCTAGTCTTGGTTTTTTCTCACACGGGATAGGTCGGCCTTGTTCCCGGAGTGCTTAGACGTCAACACATCCTAAGCCTTACGAGCACGGCAATCTTTGAGGTGGTCGTGAAGCTCGGAAACTAGTGGGGAGAGGCATGGCACCGGTCTCCCATCCTTGGAGGGTAACTGTAGTGGCCCAAGCGCCCACGCCGACCACGCGATGATGTTGACTACCGAAATTCTTGTGCTTGGCGTGGGACCCTATAGGGTCGGCCCCTTAGCTAGGGAGCCAAGGGGTCTTGGAACAGAGTTTACCACCCATCAATTGTTGTTGTCTAACTCCTAGGGGTTGGCTCTCTCTGAGCCACCCAAGCGCTAGCTTATAGGGTACGGGCATATCACTCGCTATGTTGTCTATGGATTCTGATGAGGTCCTGTTGAATGCCCTATGTTGTCTAACCGTTGGACCAGGTTGTCCAGCCTGTTCAGGACCAGCTCGAACAGGTCAATCGTGACTAAGTTCTGGATATCAAGCACAGGGTCTTGCTTGTCAACCATTTCAAGGACACTAGTGGATTAAATTAGATTTGTTTTTTCTTAAGGGAAAGTTTTGAAAATGTTTCCACAAGCGGTGCCTATTGTTGTTGCCAAATATGGAGCCAAGGGCAACAATGTAATTTCTAGCATCCGAGGTTGATGGGCCCAACCTATTGAGAGAAAGAAAATGTTAGAGGCCCCGGGAGTTATCCCAGGGACGAAGATTCCGATGGTCAAATTAACAGAAGGTCGTAAGTGGTCAGATTAAGCAAAAGATGAGACTTAGAATTTAAGTTCTAATGAATTTTTATCTCAATGTGAGAGCCCCATTTTATAATTAAAGTTGTCATAGAAAAAGAATAGGTGGAAGCAAGTGTTGGCGGTTGCTAGTCGTTGGTGATGAACGGCTTAAATACATCCGCCTTTACAAATATTCCTAGATCAACCTTAACAAAGACAAAATCCAAGAAAAAATTCATGGTTTACCAGAATTATAAATAAGAATTCGAAGTTGATAAGGAACTAGTCTCAGCCACGAGCCACATATCTTGACTCATTGGTTGGATTTAAAATTTAAAATATATGATTAATTGATTTATATAAACATTATATGATATGTCATATTTTACTATTTAACTTTTATAACCTGCACATAAATCAAGTTAAATATGAAAGATATAAATATATTATATAGATAGATATAAATATGTTACTATATGACCTTAGCATGGCTATATTTATCAAATTAAGAAAAATTCCTACTTACTAATAAGTCTTCGAGGTTGGAAAAAAAACAAAAAGAAACAAAAAAAGAATATCTTAAGTAGGCCATGCAGAATACTCAACCAATCTAACGATTACACGTGCAACATTTTATTTCAAAATAGGTTATCTTGTATTCTAGTGGCGTGAGACATGAATGAACTTACTTGGAGTGGAAATCCATGGTGGAATTGACGTTGATATTCATCCATCCATATATCCATCAATCAAAAGCACCTAAAACGAATGAGGGGGAATGAATCAATGCAGTCTTTTTCATGTGAATGTGACACCCTCCTATACAAATCCACTGAGCAGTCTATTAAAACCAGGGGCAGAAAAATGGAGCGGGACCACACTTAATATCTGGCCCGATCCATATCCTTATTTGGAAACTACTCCCCTCCACATGATTCTTTTTTTGCTTGTTCTGGATCATGATTAGCCATGATTAGCTCTAAAACATTAATTCTTTTTTTTAACAGCCCTTAGGCTAAATTCATTGCTCCAAATCCGCTTCTAAGAAGGTCTGGAGGTAAGGATCAAGTAGTAATCCTACACACATGACAAACAAATTTTGTAACTATATGGGCAGTCCTATTATCTGTGCAAGGGATAAAAGAGATTAAAACATAATGAAATTTTTGCAAAAAATTCCTACAATCAGTAATAACTGTGTGAAGTCACCAAGGAACGTTTTGAGAGGCATCTAACAGGATATCTGTTATCTTTTGTGCATCTCCTTCAATGTGAATATAAGAGAGGTGGAGTCCCTTTGCCATTTGGAGTCCAGCTCTAAAAGCTCACGCTTTAGTATTGTCGGCTCTACTAAACACAAAAATTTCATTGTAATCTCTCAAGGTAATGCCTAGCCCAGAAAAAGAATCTGTATTTGCACTATCGACATTAATCTTTTAAGAATGGGTGAGAGGGAGGAAACCCTCTACAATGGTTGCTGATCATTTGGTTGCTTTGAGAGGTGAGAATGATCCCCCTCCTTTTTAGTGAAGCCAGCTCCTCAATCTTTACATGGGCCGATGAAATAATTTTAACTGGGTTGAAAGCTTTATTCTCTATTGCCTTCTTGCATCTACTCTTCCAACGGTTCCAGAAGATTATAGCAAATTTACTGAAAAGACCCAGATCATCTGTTGGATCGTCTCTGCTCTGTTCCCACCAAAAGGACATTCAATCGAGAAGAGACCAGTCTGGTTTTTCTTTCATGCGCATGGCTAAGCAAGATCCAAACCAAACTGGTCTTACAGCTTTACAATGGATGAATACATGATCTGCATCCATCTGTGACGAGAAATTGTATTAGAATTATTAAGAAAACAAGCTTGAGTATGAAGAATATAGGAGTCATTTCTTCAAATTGTCTTCACCATGTAGGTGTTTTGTGCTCTTTCTCTTATTTTTATCTGGTTGAGCATTTTCAAGTTGTTTCAAACAGTACTTCACGATTATGTAAAAAATAGTTTTTGAAAATAGAACATTTTACCATTTATTGCAATGGAAATAATGTTTTTATCTTTTTGTCTAAAAATAACAGTATATATATATAGACATGCACAAAATTTCAAGTTATTTTATTGATTTCCAAGGTGTAGTGATTGTTGTTTAGGGATGACAAGTTTTTCCATCCTTATTAGGCATCCAACTTCCCCAACTCTATCGGGTTGAGGATGGGTATTGCCTTAGTAGGGATGGGGATTGATAGTGATGTCTAACCGGGGATGAGGAGTGAATTTTCTGCCCCACCCGTTATATTTATTTAAAAAAATCTCTTAATTTTAAGTGGGTCTATTTAAGAAAAATAATTAGAGATTCAGATCCTTGATGAAAAATCCGTCTCCATCAAAGATCAAGAATGGAAGGTTATTTTTATCCTCAACAAAGATGAGGATCGGGATAGGAATTCGTTTCAAACGGGATTGGAGTCGGAGAATATGGTCCCCGCCCCGTTGCCATTCTTACACATCCTGGATGATTGTCATGATGACATTTGGTTTAAATGTTTAATCCCTTATAAAGAATACCATCCAGTAGTAATTTAACATCAGCATGTTCAAACCCCATGACCATTATCACATTGTCCTGATCCAAAAAAATCAAGCCCTCCTTGCTTTTAGGTTATAGGCCCAGTTTTTTTTTCCAAAAAATAGATAAAAACAAATAAAAAGAAAATCCAGAAACCGAAAACAACGCGAGACCACACTCGGCACTCCACAGCCCACAATTTTTTTCCATTTGTGTGACATTTTTGCAGCTTGGTGGGCCTGAGTAGCTTCTACTACTACGTAAGAAATGGACAAACAAAAATAAAGAATTCCAACTCATCAATGCTAGGGTTTATCCTATTATTTTATCCATCCACGTGGCAACGCAAAGCCCACTTTTGATCAATCGGACATGATGTACGGGACCCACCGAAGGAAAACCATCACCTGACATGTGCACGAGAATAGCTGCTGACTTGGCATCACTTATCCACTAAAGCCAGTCAAACTACCAGTCAACCCGGCCTTCCTGGTTCTTGATATTTCGTCCAGTTGGTGCTCCGAATCCACTGAACCATTGTGCGCCACGTGGCAAACAACAGTTGTGGCTACTCGAATCTGATCGTTAACCGTTTCTATAAATACCTCCGTCAACGAACAGACGTCTTCAGAGAAGAGAAGATTTGAAAAATGAGTGAAGCAGAGATTGAGTTGATTCCTAATCTACCTGAAGAAATCGGCCTGGAGTGCCTGATTCGGTTACCCTACACGGAACACAGAGTTGCAGCCCGAGTCTGCCGACGATGGCGAGAGTTGCTCGAAAGCCGGGGCTTCTACTATCAGAGAAAGCAGACGGGGTACACCCACAAGGTGGCTTGTTTAGTTCAGTCACTTCCTGTGAAAACCGCCGGTGGTGGGCGGAAACCGGCGGGAGCGCCCTTTTATGGAATCACCGTCTTCGATCCGGTGAGTGGGACTTGGGAGCGACTCCACCCGGTCCCTAACTATCCTGACGGGCTCCCGTTGTTCTGTCAGTTATCGAGCGTGGAGGGGAAACTCGTCCTCATGGGCGGGTGGAACCCGGTGAGTTGGGAACCCGTGAAGGACGTATTCGTCTTCGATTTCACGATCCGGCAATGGAGACGAGGAAAGGACATGCCCTCGAAGCGGTCGTTCTTTGCCTCCGGCTCGTTGGACGGAAAAATCTTTGTTGCCGGTGGGCACGACGAGAACAAGAACGCGTTGAAATCGGCGTGGTCTTACGATGTGAGACGGGACGAGTGGGAAGAACTGAGTCAGATGACTGAGGAGCGGGATGAATGCGAAGGAGTGATCATAGGGAACGAGTTCTGGGTGGTGAGCGGCTACAGTACGGAGAACCAAGGGAGGTTCGAGAGTAGCGCAGAGTGTTATGAACTTGAAACAGGTCGATGGAGGCGAGTCGAGGGAGCGTGGCCAGCGGGTCGGTGCCCGAGGGTGTGCGTGGGTGTGGAGAAAGAAAAAGATGGGAAGTTGTTTTGCTGGGCCGAATCCGACTCGGCGATTCGGGTTGGAGCTTGTGGGGTGGGGTTGGGCGAGCGGACCCTCGTCACCGGGTCACCGTACATGGGGGCACCTCAGGGAGTGTTTTTAGTGGAGGCGAAGAAAGGACAAAATGGTAAATTGGAGAAGATTGATGCACCAGATGAGTTCTCAGGTTTTGTTCAGTCAGGTTGCTGTGTGGAGATTTGAAAGAGGATGAAGGGTAAAATTGTAATGTGGCTATCTGTAATTTACCGATACCCTTATATTATATATAAATACATAATTCTAAGGGGATATTTTTTATCTAAAAAGGAAAAAGAAAATTTGATCGGCTACTTATTGATATTGATACCCACTGAACACAATCTAATCATAGCAATTGGGAACATCTAACAATGGGAGATGCTCTCGATGTGTGTGGCTATAATATCCATGTGTGGGTAGAGTATAAACAACATTGGGAATGTGTGGCCTTTGTTCTTAGGCAGATAAAGACCGAGGCCTTATTAATTGTTTAGTAAATTATTTACCGAGTAAGTATTTCATAAATACACTTTCCTTGGTAAACGAAATTAATAAGGCCACGTTTGGTTCGCAAGAATAGGGGTTTAGAATTGAAATTGAAATGTGTTATTCTGATTTCAAATGTTTGGTTGGGCGGAATCAGAATTACATTTCTACTTCTGTTGGAAGGGCATTCTCCCATTTGAAGAAATGGATATTCTCTGTTTCTTTCTTATGAATGAAATCTCATACTTGCTGATTTTAATTCTCATTCTCATTCCTGTCTGAATCAAACAGATTATGGGAATGAATCATTCCGATTTCAATTCTGGAGGATTCCAATTCCGATTCTAACTACAAACCAAACGGACCCTAAGTTTGACAATTTACCATTTTTACTCATATATTCTATTTTTACAAATAGCAGTTTTATCCAATAATATTTTGGCATATTTAAGAAGGATATCATATTTCGAGACAAGTGACAACTTTTCCATTGACTAATCCCCCCCCACCCCCCCTCCACCGGGCTCAGACTTAAGTTGGGCCAAATTTTGAGTGGATGCAGCGAGGTGGTGTGAAATGTTAGTGGGCCAAGCCCAAAGGCCGACCTGTAAACAGGTCTATTACCCATATCTGAAGTAATAAGAAAACACCGACTTTTTTCTTACTTCGTATAAAAAAGATTACTTCCTTGTGATTCATAGATAGATTAGTGTATGCAATAAGGTGGATCCAGATCTGAATTTGTCGATCCAACTTAGATCCAATTGACATGGTCCATATATACCCGTTCCATTTTATCAAGTGAAATGAATTTTGACGCGAGTAATGGTATTTAGATTGGACCCACAATTTGTTGGACTTCATTGTTTGTAAATTGAGATCACATACATTTCAGAATATAGGCTCAATTTGAAAAGAATACAAATACAAATATGTAAAGTGCAAATACAAATATAAATATGTAAAAATGTGTAAAGTGTAAATACATACAAAATATAAAGTTTTGTATTCTATATTTTTGTATTTATACTCTTATGAACTAAAAGTTTAGTTTGGATTTGGAATGAGTACAAATACAAATATGTAGAATACAAATACAAAACAAAAGGTTTTACACTCTACATATAAAATACAAGGTTCAGTTTAGAAAGAATATAAATACAAATATGTACAATGCAAATGCATACACAATAATATAAAATATAAGATTCTATATTCTACATATTTGCATTTGCACTTTTTCCAAACTGAGTTTGGAAGCAGTACAAATGCAGTACAAATATAAGGTTTTGTACTCAGTTTAGAAGCAGTAGAAGTACAAATATGTATAACATAAATATATACAAAATATAAGATTTTACACTCTACAAACAAAAGATGGTATAGGAAAGGAAAAACAACATTTAAAACGGAACAACGGTCAATAAAAATAAAAAGAAAGTTACACTGCGATTTGAACTCGGGTTACTGGATTCAGAGTCCAATGTCCTAACCATTAAACCATGGGACCTCGGCGCCTCATTATCTTTAGGATACCTAAACGAGAGGAAAATAACATTAAAAGCGGAACAACGGTCAATAAAAATAAAAAACAAGGTCCCACCGAGATTTGAATTCGGGTTACTGGATTCAGAGTCCAATGTCCTAACCACTAGACCATGGGACCTGAACACTTTATTCTCTGTAGGATAATTATTTTTATACGATGTTATTATAAACTCCCCACAGCATATTTCCAATGTGTATTAAAAACATGTCCGGATGATAATATCAGTCCCGATCATTGATAGAGATTCCCAATACACGACATAGATGTGTTATAGGGCATTATGGGGTGACTCCTCATGGAGCAAAGATGTGATCTCCCTTCTTTCTATTCGCTTTAGGCAGAAGTTAGAACTGAAAGAAATGCAATTGAACCAACACATAGAATCTCTCTCTGCCCATTGAAGGAATCAAAATCCTGGTATATATGACATTCTTTTTTCTCCTAGCATTAATGGATTGGCTCAGCTGCCAATAAATTATGTTCCAACATGCTCTGATATCGTACATCTCACCATGAGACTGAGAGTCTGAGACCAGGGGCGGAGTTAGGATTTTATGTTAGGGGGGTCAAATACTAATTAACATAGAGGGGTCAAATGTTAATAAAACAAGGGTAAAGGGTTAAAGTATAAATGAATCATCAATAGGGATTGTGGGGATTTTCAAAGCATAGGAGGGTCATTACTCCCCTCCGCCACCCCCTGGCTCCGCCCTTGTCTGAGACCTATGTATGAGATGAATCCAAATTTGCCCTTCACACCAATCTTACATTATTTGAGCCTCACATTTGGAACATCTCCATATTTATAAATTATCAATTGCAATTGCAATGTGATATGAGGTTGGTGTAAGGTGCGCCTTATGAGAAGTAAATTCGATTTCATATGAAATGTGTGGGACCTGATCATTTTGAAAGCACATTGAAACTATTTTATTGGCAACGTATCCAAACCCCATATTAATTATGGCTATGTTTTGAGCCGATTATGTTTTTCAAGAAAACGGCATTAAGTCAATGCCATATTGGATATTTGTTGTTTGGGAAAACGATCCTTATTTGGTTGGATTTTTTCAAGAAAATTAAAAAAAAAAAAAAAAACTTTCTCATAACATGCCTTAGAGATGGGAAAAGTCTTGGCATGAAAAAAATGCCCTTACCCTTTGGGCAAATTCTCATTTTTATATCATTGCTAGCAATGTTTGCTGATGCAGCGTTAAAAAAATGCCTAAGTGACAGCAATGAAACCAAATTTGTGCCCCTAAGCGATCAATGAGGATCCTCGGTTGGATCAAGGGGTAGGATTCCTCTTGACAATTCGTGCCCTGAAAGAGACTTAATTTGCAGAAAATCCTGACACATTTTTTTTTAGTGAAACGAAAACATCGCTTCTGCAAAATCAAGATACTGTTGAGGTATTGATGCTATAGGCTTAAAAAGGTAATTTGGCCCTTTTCTGGATTGGGAATGTAAATCTCAGGGTTCTAAAGGTAGACCAGTATTTCATTCATTCCCGTAGAAGACTTGACCAAAGGGACCTGGTTCTGCACTTTCTTTTATGGGGAGTCAAAGAGGAGAAAAAACCCTTCTTTTTGAGAAGTGGAGGAAGGAGGGAACAGAGTTTAACCCCAACCATTCAGAAAAAGAAGTAATGGTTGTGTGACTGTGGTCTTATGGAAATTCAAAATCACGTCCCTGTCTTCACTTGATCGAATAGGAGAAGCAATGGTGAGCTTATCAAAGCAAAGTTGGATTGGTTCCAGGCTCAGATTGAAAAGAGTATAAATACAAATATGTACAGTGTAAATACATGCAAAATAATACAAAATATAAGGTTTTGCACTTTATATATTTGCATTTATACTCCTTTCAAACTGAGTCTGTGTAACAAATCCTGGAGCAACTTATTCCCATATGTCTGGAGTTAGACCAAAAAAAAAAGCCTCAGCCCTTGAAGTTTGAGGAAATGTGGTCCACGCATTTAGATTGCAAGGACCTCATTTGCAATGTATGGAATTCTCCTGTTAAAGGATCAACTCAAGAGAAGGTCTATAAAAACTGTAAATTCCTTAGCTCTGCCCTTTAAAAGTGGAATGGAGAAGTCTTCGGCAATGTCAGAAAGCAGATTGATGGTTTAAAAATTTGCATTCGAAAAGAGATTGAGGCCCCAACTCCTCTTAGTGATGTGAATAAATTTAAATCTTTAGAGAGAGAAATATGGAGATAAAAATCCAACCCAATTACAAAGTTGAAGGACAAAAGTATGGAATAAAAATATGTGAGCCCAAAAAGCTAGAATATCTTGGCTTAAATATGGAGATAAAACTAGTAGATTTTTTTCATGCCCACACTATGAAAAGAAAAGCAAGGAACAAAATTTCAAAGTTGAAGGACAAAAGTAATAGGGAAAATTTCCGATTAGTACCATGCACTTTGGGCCTAGTGACACTTTGGCCCCCTGAACTTTAAAATGCGACAATTCAATATCCGAACTTTTAAAACGTGCCAATTTAGTACTTACCGTTAACCAACCATTAAGTGGCATTTGAAAAGACATAAATGTCCTTTGAGTGTCATATAATTTTCTTTATCAGCCATCCAAATGTTAACAAAAAATAAACAATCCCAAGTCCTTGCCTCTTCTATTCAAGAAAGTTGGGAATGCCCACTAATATGTGACCTTATTTTTCTTAAATAGTAGAGAAATGGATTTGGAGATGCTCATTTTTTGTCAATGTTTGGATGGTTTATAAAGAAAATTAGATAACAATCAAAGGGCATTTTTGTCTTTTCAAATGCCACTTAACGGTTGGCTAACAGTAGGTACTGTATTGGCACATTTTAAAAGTTCAGGTACTAAATTGTCACATTTTAAAGTTCGGGAACTAAAGTGGCAGTAGGCCTAAAGTACAGGATACTAATCGGGAATTTTTCCAAAATAATATGTAGATTGAGGGTCATTACGAAATTTCAAATCTCTTAAATCAACATTTTCTAAACATCTATAGGACCTCTCACTCGACAAGCATTGGGGACCCGGTAAGTGTGTGGGACTTTGTTGTTACAGCTAAGGATAATAGTACCCTTGATTGTGAGGTGATAAATGATGAAATCAAGACAGCCCTTTTCCAAATATAACCTACGAAGGCCTCGGGCCCAGATGACTATCCGAACCTATTCTTCCAAAAATACTAGGATGTGGTGGGGAAGGATTTCATAAGGCAATTAAGGATTTCTTTTCAACAAGGGAGTTAACTGAGGATCATACCCAAAGTCAAATCTCCTGAGGACCCAATTCATTGTCGGCCTATTAGTCTTTGCAACACAATTTACAAAACAATAGCAAAAATTCTGGTTAATAGGTCGAACCAGTGCTAGATAGATATGTAAGCAAAAATCAGAATGCTTTCATCCTAGGGAGGGTTATTAATGACAATATTCTTATTGCTCATGAGGTCATCCATTTCATGAAAAACAGTAGGGCAAAAAAGAATTTATATATGGCCATCAAGTTGGACATGAACAAAACTTATGATAAGATAGAATGGGATTTCCTCAAAGGGGTGATGGAAAAATGGGGTTTGGGCAGAAATGGATTAATTGGGTTTTGACTTGTGTTTCAACTATTTACTATCAAATATTAGCGAATGAGGATGACCCTTTGTCTCCCTACCTTTTTATTTTGTCTACTAAAGTCCTCTCTTAGGAAATCAATGCTTTAAAATCTTAGAATTCTTCAATAGGAATAAAGCTCAATTCCCAATGCCCCACCATTTTTTATCTTTTCTTTGTAGATGACAGTGTATCTTCACCAAAGCCACACTATAGGACGGATCAGTGTTGGTGGAAGCCCTCAAGGACTACGAAAGAGCCTCTGGATTTCTCCAAGTCTAAAATTTTTTTCAACAAGGGTCTGCATTAAAAACTTCAGAAATTACTAACCAAAGCTTTCCATTTAAAAAGGGTGATTGTCCCTTCGAAGTACCTTGGGCTCCCAATGCAATTTGGTACCTCATTATCACGGTGGCTCTACTTATTTTCTTGCAAACAACCTAGATTTGGAAGATAGAACTCCCAGGTCCACTCACAAATCTAAGTGGAAACTAATCTGGTCCTTACCTACTGAATAGAAAATTAAGACTTTATCTAGAGATGGTGTCGTGAAAGCATTGTAATCAATAATCTGCTGTCCAAACGATAGTTGGGTAATACAAGCCAGTGTCCTCTTTGTAACAAAGCTCCTGAAACAATGTTGCATGCCTTAGTTTCATGTGATCATGCCAAAAGGTTCTGGTTTGCAAGCCTTTTCAATGCAAATATGAATAATGTGCCAAGTAATTCCAAGTTTGATGACTGATTTCTCAACTGGACCATTAACTGTTGTGCTCTAAAAGAAAGAAAGTCTGAATTACTTTCTTACATAGCTCTAGTTAATTATCTGGAACATATTGAAAGCTAGAAACTTAGCTTTTTTCGAAGGAACTGATGTTGATCCCATTGTCATTATGAATCAAATTTCCAGACAGGTGAGGGATCTCTCCCAGTCGATGTTGGGCCCACTACACTCAAGATTCTGGTTGCAAGGTACCTGGCTAACTTGGCCGCTGAATGAAGCCTCTCAGTCTTCTACTATTTTTTGGTGGCCCCTAGTTCAAGGCTCAGTAAAGGTTAGCAGTGCATCAATGGGGGTTTTGAAGGAGGATCTAAGGCTAGCTTTGGAGCAGTTATTCAAGATAGTTCAGTTTTTTGCGTTGCAACTAGTTATGGTCTTGTGGTTGCTACTGTTGGAGAAGATGGGTCACTGTAATTTTGGAGGAGAAGCTCTGAGGCGTGTCTGAAGACATTGTCTTTAGAACGTTATTTGCCTTCACTCAGTTTTATTGAGTTTGCTGTTGGGTTATAGGCAAATTTGTTCCCATGATACAACAGAGCCTTTGGGCGAGAATCTGCAACCAGCAAAGTTGAAGAATCTCCAAAGAAACCTTTTGTGAGACTGTAGCAGACCGGACTGAGAGAGAGAGAGAGAGTGAATTTCGAAATTGTGTGTTTTGGAGTCTGATTCATGCCCCTTAAATAATTTGTGAAGAGGTATGAAGAAAAGGTAAGTGCTGGTTTAGAGAAGGCACCTTGAACAGTCACAATTTCAAACATTGTGACTGTTTAAAAAGTAGTTAACAGTTGGTGACTGTTAACTTTGAATTGTGCCTCTTGATCACACCCGATCGAATCATGACCGTTGATCTCATCAACAGTGATCAACGGTCATCAACGCACCAAAACCAGAGCCGCCCATCGCAAGCAAAGTGTGCCTCTAAAGCGCCCCATTGCGCCGCACACACGCGTGCACGCGCGTTACACGGTATCGAATCCCCATACTCTCCTCTACTAATTCTAAAGAGTGTAAATCAGCTCCTATTGAAATACTGAAAACAAAACTTATAATTTTCCAATGTGGGACAAGTTCAAAACTGGTTTTGTAAGAGAAAAACTGATTTTTCAACCAAGTGTACAGGTGTAACTTCTCATGTAATTGACCAATCAAACCCATTGGATTTAATCTCTTATGAGATTAAAATCCAGCAGCTACTTCGGCTCTTCAGGGTAAAGCCATGGCAATTTATCAAGGCCTCCTCTTGGTGGGGGCGTACGGGGCTCAAGAAAGTGATAGTAGAATCAGATAATTAATTGCTGATAAACGAGTTTAAAGTTGATTCACAAGATTGGTCGGTAGCTAGAGGTTTTTTTAATTTGTAAGGACATTTATATGCTGGCTATTAGACCCCGTTTGGTATGTCTTTTCATGTAGGCTATCGGTTTTTTAAAAGTTTGGCGGTTCATGTTATCATCTTTTCCCATTTTGTTGGAAAAATATCTAACCACTAAAAGATGTTATGCTGAAAAGATGCACAAAGCCCATTTTCTGTGATTTTTGGGAGTTTTTTTTTCAACATGCCTTCATGCGAAAAGACATGCTTTAACCAAACAGTCTTTAAGCTGTCAAAATCTTACGCCCCCCTGCTTTAGTGACCTCTGAATCTCTGATGTTCAATAGCCTGATTTTTGTATCGTTGTTGTTTTGATTAATGGATATTTAGCTTTTCTTCTCGGGAAAAAAAACAAACAAACAAACAACAAATAAAACCGTTCTCTCACGGAGAAACAGCACCAGCTTCAAACAGGTATTATAATGTCCCATTCCGGAGCCAATGACAGGAATTTGAAAACAAAAACTTTTGGGAGAATGACTGATGAGTTCAGGTCAGAATTTTTTTAGCTCGACCATACAGAGAGATGAATACTGACCATGAATTGATGGTAAATCCACAGGCAGGAGGAGGGGGCTGGAGGTCGTAATTCAGAATTTTGCATTGAGCTAGAGTGAACTTAACCCATTTTTTTTAAACTAAACTTGCAGCAATGCTATTAATCAATTATAACATAATATGATGAATATAGCAGATCACATAAACAGAAAGCCTATATTGCTTTCTTGTACGTATAGAAGTAATGAAATGGCCGATGTGTATTTGCTAGAGTTGAACCACATCCAGTCGTCCACCCACCAAGAATATGATTCTACCTACGTTTTCAGACGCAGAACAGGCTTTTTCCGAGAACCCAGATGTGGATCTCGCTTCACCTTGATCAAGTGACTCAGGACTTTAATATAACGACTTACCAATCCACCAGTCTTCACCCCCTCCATGCCCTCTGCTTGCTGCTTCGTCACCAACTGTAGCTGATTTTCTTGGGTGAAGTGATGACCGAGTGATTTCCCACTTCGACCACGCTTCCCTTCTTCTCCATCACCCAGTTTCTCTTCTCCTTCATGGATCAGTTCCTTCAGGCTTCTACGATCAATGCCATCCTCCTCCACCTCACCGATTCCCGAAGAAGGATTCTCTGTTTCAGGAGAAGATTTGACATTCTCTGTTTCGGGAGAACATTTGACATCATCCTTCTTGTCATCATCTCCTGCTGTGATAATGGGATGAATAGGTTGATCTGATACTTGAAGCTTTATGGGTTTTCTGGTTCTTCTGGACATGCTAAGGTCATAGTGGCGCTTGCTGGGATTGCACTCACTTCCCATTGTGGAACAGGGTTGCAAGAATGATCAATTTCCTTCTCACTTATCATGCTTGGAGGAAACAGAGATTAATCAAGTTAATTCTTTGATTGCTTTAAAGAAGGAGCATGTTCGAGATTTCTTGGTGATAAATCAAAAGTAAGTTCTGGGTTTTCCAGGAGGTGAAATGTCTCTTTCGGGTCCTCCATCACCAATTGAAAGATCAACCCTCTACAGTGGTAGCTGACCAGTTGAGCAGAGGAGATGGCACCAAACTCTACGACCATCTGTCATCTGATTAAAATGCAGTTGGTCTCCTTCACTGTTATGTATCCAAGCCTCTCTCTCTCTCACACACATATTAAATCACCGTTCTACAGTCTGCATTGCCTAAACCAACAAAATCTCCAAAATATATTCACTAATTTTCAAGGCACCTATGCATGGCGTAGGCAAAGGATTTTTTAAAATAAAAATATTAAGCCTAGCAGCTAAAGGTAGTTCTGGATGTTCCATGGCAACCAGCAACCATCATATCAAAATATAGAAAATCAATATATTCTTAAGAAAAAAAAAGAAAGAAAATAAAATTAAAAAAAAAATTATAAGGGTCAAACCCCAGGTTTTGTCTTAAAAGAAGAAGAATGTATTGATTGAAAAAACATTGTTAAGGTCTCTAGGTTCAGGTTTTCAAGTCTCTAAGAGTTCAAGACTGCATATAGCAACATAGGTGTTGATTAAACCCTAAACAAGAAAATGATAAAAGGAAATTAGTATATAAGTCCCAAAAATTAATATTTCAACTTAATATGTCTATTTTATCATCACAATTTCAAAAAAAAAAATAAGAACATACAAATATTTCATAATATACAAATTAGCTTGGCTGTTAATTGTTAAACAAGGCAATCTTCCATGGGTGGCCTTATGGCCTACACCTAGAGGTCGTCTTGACAACTATCTATATTCCAAAATTTATGACAAACTTGGCATAACAGTCCAAACATTATTGGAGAGATATGGAAAAGGGTTTAAAAAAACTAAAACAAAATCACTAATCACTGTCATGTAAACAATCTTTTTCCCCTACTTGTCTTAAATTCCTATCGGTAGGTAAAACTTCAATTTAACAGTGACAAGGCCTTCAACAACAATCATGTACGTCAGATTGGGAATTTATGTGTGAGATGGAACCCAACCCCTCCACCAACAAAGTTTGCAAATATCTGATTAGTCATTCTTTCCGGTTTTTCTGTTTGTGGCTCCAAAATAAGAAGCAAAAGCTACAGCAAAGGTACCTTATACCAATGTTTTCAAAACCGGACTGGACCGGAAAAATTAGTAACTAGTCATTTCATTTAACCCAAAAATCACTTTTTGGCCAAAAGCCATTGATTTGGTCAGCGAATCACTGACCCGAGTAGTCGAACCATTAAATCGTTCAATCCAAAAAACGGTTTTTGGATGTTCTTTTGTGTTTTTAAATTATTTTTGTTTTTTTTTTTTGTCTGAACAGGTTGTCTGGTTAGACTGTTCGACCCAAGAACCAAATCTAAGACGGTTCCTTGTCCAGTCCAGTTTTAAAAACCTTGCCTAATACACACATTATGTGCAAAAGGCCCAATACCAAGTGGCTGCCACAAAACAAAAGGCAATGCTAGGGTTTGGGCCATCTAGGAGTGCTTTTGATATTTTTGCTTTTACCTTTACTATTAAACTAGCGGAGGAGGCTCTGCGTTGCATGGGCTCGCACATAAACTATCAAGCTCAAACTCGATTCAAATTAGAGACTTGAGCTTGAGCTCGAGCTCGGCTACCTTTGATTGTAGGTCTCTCAAGCAGCTGAGGTGCCGAGCCAAGGTTCTGAGCCAAGGTCTCCCTCAATTGCTGAGGTGCCAAATCAAGGTCTCCCTCAGCTACTGAAGTGTCGAGCTGAGGTTTCCCTAGCAAGCGAGGTGTCGAGCTAAGGTCTCCCTTAATTGACAAGGTGTCAAGCTAAGGTGTCCCTCAGTTGTTGAGGTGCTAAGCCGAGATCTCCCTCAGTGACTGAGGTGTCGAGCCGAGGTCTCTCTCAGTGGTCGAGGTGTCGTCTAGCTCGAGCTCGATTCGAATTAGAGACTTGAGCTTGAGCTCAGAAGTTTGAGCTTGGCTCGACTCGAACTCGACTACCTTTGATTGTAGGTCCCATAGCAGCCAAGATGCCGAGCTAAGGTCTCCCTTAGTTGGAGAGAGAGTGGCATTCTTGCAATTTATAAGGAGAGAGAGAGAGAGATGGCATTTTTTGTAATTTGTAAGGAAAAGAGAGAGTTGGTAGGAGAGAGTGTGGCATTCTTGTAATTTAAAAGAAAAAATGCAAGAGAGAGAGAGAGAGATAGTTGGTAGGAGAGAGTGGCATTCTTATAATTTGAAAGCAAAATAGAGAATTGGTAGAGAGTGGCATTCTTGAAATTTCTATGAAAAAAAGGCAAAAAAAAAAAATGTTAGATTCCATTTCCCTCATCCACAGGCCTTCTTACGTACACATTTCAGCTTAATATATTTACTAGTGGAGGGGGTCTTGCGTTGCAGGGGCTCGCTCATAATATATCAGGCTTGAGCTCAATTCAAATTAGAGACTTGAGCTTTGACTCAAGTCAAAAGCTCGGAAGTTCGAGCTCAACTACCTTTGGTTGCAGGTCTCTCAAGCAACCGAGGTGCCAAGCCAGTCGAAGTCTCCCTTAATTGTCGATGTGCCAAATCGATGTCTCCTTCAACTGCTGAAGTATCGAGCTGAGGTTTCCCTAGCAGGCGAGGTGTCAAGCTAAGGTCTCCCTTAGTTGACAAGGTGTCGAGTTGAGGTCTCCCTCAGTTGTCGAGGTGCTGAGCCAAGATCTCCCTCAGTGACCAAGGTGTCGAGCCGAGGTCTCCCTCAGTGGTCAAGATGTCGTCTAACTCGAGCTTGAGCTCAGAAGTTCGAGCTCGGCTCGGCTTGAACTCGAATACCTTTGAATGCAAGTCCCCTAGTAGTCAAGATGTCGAGCTAAGGTTTCCCCCAGTTGGAGAGAGTGGCATTCTTGTAATTTATAAGGAGAGAGAGAGAGAGAGATGGTAGGAAAGAGAGTGGCATTCTTGTAATTTGAAAGAAAAAAAGCGAGAGAGAGAGAGAGAGTGGCATTCTTGTAATTTGAAAGGAAAAAAAAAGCAAAATAGAGAGTTGGTAAAGAGTGGCATTCTTGTAATTTCTATGAAAAAAAGGCGAAAAAACATGGTTAGATTCCATTTCCCTCATCCTTAGGCCTTCTTACCTACACATTTCAGCTTAATATATTTATATAGATATAGATGTGTAGGCAATGTCTCTAAGACAAAGCTATTTATAATTCATGGTCACTTTTTATAATTCATTTATTCAAAAATTAATTAAGGTATTTTAGAGGTTCGTGGATAGAATTCTCTTAGACAAATTATTCAACTTACCATATCCTATTCCAACACCCTAGCAATTTCTAAATGGTTATAAGTGGGTAGTTTCTGAATTGAGTGTTTTTTGGAAGTTCATGGATAGAATCATGGTTTTCAAAACTGAACCGGTCAGGGGTCTGGTTACTGGTTCAAACGGTCCGACCATTCGACCCGAATGGCCGGCCCATTCTGACAAAAAAAATATAAAAAATATAAAAACAGTCAAAATCGTTCGAACAGTTAACCGGCCGATTCAGCGGTTTGCTGACCAAAATCAACGGTTTTGGGGAAAAACGGAACTGATCCCCCATTTTTCCTTTGCAACCATCCAGTCCGGTCTGATTTTGAAAACTATGGATAGAATTCTCTTAAGACAAAATTATTCAACTTACCATATCCGATTTTAATACCCTTGTAATTTCTGAACAGTTATAAGTGGATAATTTCTTAAGTGAGTAAATAGCATATATGCCTTCTTTATACTGGTAGAAAACATCCAATTAAAATTCAAAAAAGAAACGGGCATTGGCTCTTTTATAAATATTATAGATATAGATATCATCAATTGCATTTCTATACCCAACATAATATTAATATTGGTGTTGAATATCGATGTCTATCAATATAGCCAATATTTTCTTTTATTTTTTTTATTTTATAATAATGAGAGGACCCCAAAAGAGGTCTGAGACCTTTTAATGTTTTTAAAATACATACGATACACCCTATCGATACGTTAATCCTTGATTTCAATAGATGGAGATCATTAGGTTGCATCATGCTTTTGAGTGAATTTGCACCATACATTTTGCAGGCACATTTATAGCTAGAATTAGAAACATTCCTACTTCCTACTTTCATGTGAATATACCAAATCAGTGAATTGAACTTTTATCTACCCAAGAAAAAGTGAATTCAACCCTTTTAATTGGGGAATCAGTTAACGGAAATTATTTGGGTGGAACCACTAACGAGTTGGAATCACTAATGAAATTCACTAGGTCTTCAGGATTCATTCCATTTTTAATTTTCAATTTTGAAAGGCAAAGAAAATGGCAAGGCTTGCTAGCTTGCTCAAAATGCATATATTTCAACCCAAGAGATGAAATAACAATGTCGAAACACAATAAACACAGAATGAACATGTGGCCATGGTTGGCTGTTGTAAAGCTAATGCATCTCTGTAACTCTTTACAACATAGCAGCCTCCTCCATAGCACTGCCTCTGTCTTAAACTGCACAAGCCTATGCAAATTGCAAAATTGGATATCTTGGCTCCCTAAATTCCAAAAAGAGCAAGAAGTATTGCTGGAATCAGAAACACCACCTCAGATACTTGAAGCATTGAACTCACTCCAGTGAGGCTAGTAGTTGGTCCCAATGCTGTGGAAGGTGTGATTGCCCCAGTAGTATTTGAACCAGAACTGTTTCCAAAGGTTAATACTTAAGATTGCATAACAAGCAACTAGAAATTCTTAAATATATTAAAGAATTAAAGATTCCAAGTGCTCACCTTCCTGCAAAAACACATGAGCCATGGCCTGCAAAGGGCAAACCACGAATAAATAAATAAAAAAAGACCATATCTAACCCATAGCTTCCAAGATGAGCAACTTATAGATATGTGGGGTGAGGATATGCAGAAATAGAAATTTAACAGAAAGACTTGATAAGAACGGAGAACAAGGCTTGAGAAATTGTAGTGGCATGTTATTTTGTTGTCAATATTAAGGCCTTATCTCATGGCAAGATTGCCATAACCTCCATTTTCTTACCAACTTCCAAAGGATAGTCCTAAATGTGAAAAGGTCCACGCCAATGCATCAAAACATCAGTCAATTCCAAAACTAGGGAGCAGGGACTATAGCAAAGGGAGGATTCAGCCTTGGAAAATTCTCTATCTAATAAAAGTTAGATAATAGAGATTAAGTTCCTTATTTACTGTTATAAGAGAGCACACAATTTCCACCAGTATACAGATCAGGTGCATCATATGATAAATGAATTTAACAAGAACACACAAGACCATTATTTCAATCATGGCAAGAAAGTAAAGTTTTAGTCTTGAACAAAAGGCTAGAGAAATTATTCTTCTAGAGTAATCAGGCAAAAAAAGTCAGGAATGATACAGCATCAAGAACATGCTTCTTTTTGTAAAGCTATCAATTGCCTCAGTTTTACTGCACCCTAATCCCCTACTTTAACCAAATTGTATGACACCAAGAATCAACTATTTACCATTATATAAAGGCCAAAACATTGGAATTTACATGATGAAAGAACTTACTAGGATCAACTGCGGTAGTTGTGGCTGTACCACTAAAGTCACAGGTCCCACCAATGCTCTGCATCTTGTGAAAATAGTCATTGTAAGCATAAGAAGCATGATCCTGGAGAGTGTTAGGGTCATAACATGGCTGCCCCTCTTGAATAGCACTGCAATTAGCCTGTCCCTGGCCACAAGCCCAATTCAGACCAGACTGCAATGAACTGACATCTGCACCTGGTTTTGCCACACAGAAAAGCCCAATCCCAGAAGAGTTTGCTGTAAGTCTATCCGAAGAACTAAAACTCAAAGGATAAATGGGTGTTCCATTTGTAAAGAACAAACCCCAGTTTTTCTCAGATAAAGGCCCTGGTCTTTTATCCTCATTGAATAGCTCATATATGTATGTCCTTATAGGTAGAGATGGCTGGCTAGGAGAGCCAGAATCATTGAGCACTCGACGAAACAAGTTGCTGTTGTAGGTCTCTGCATTCTCCACAGTAGCATCAGATTCATTGGCTCCCCCAAGCCATGGCCAACCTGTTTCTGTCACAACAACTGGAATACCAGAGAAATTGAGTGCTTCGATGGAGTAATAAGTGGCATCAACCATGGACTCAAACATGCTGGGATAGTGGAAAAGAGTGTTGGGGTCAACAATCTGTTTGGTTAGAGAAAGGGGCTCAAAAAGTGCAAATTCAAGTGGAAAGATACCATTTCCTTTGGTGTAACCATAATAAGGGTTGGCATTTAACATGTAAAAAGATCCAGTGTTCTTCAAAAACTGGAGAAATTGGTACATGATGGAACTCCATGTAGAATTAAAGGTGGCATCAGAGGGGGGGAAAGGCCTAGGGATCATGTCCATGGACTGGGGACTTGAAACTTTGACCTGGAAATTGATGTTAGAAGCCACAAGAGCATTGTGAAGGTAGTTCATGGCTGGAACCAGGATGGGAGCAGCATTTGGTATTGAAGTCAGGACTTCACTGCCAACAGCTATTGCCGTGATATTGGTGGAAGGCAAGTAAGATACAACATTCTTATTGATCCAAGCTGCTGCAACTGATGGGGATTGTCCAATCCCCAACACCTCCTCATTGGCCACCCCCACCATGACTTCAATCCCAGTGCCTGCTAAGGCATTCAGCATGCGATTATCAGCATCATAGAGGCGTACATGAGTTATCTGATTGGCTTTAAGGATTGCCACCACATCTGAAGCTGATGGCAGATCTGTGACATCCATGCCAATGTTTATCCCCACAAACGCACCTAGATAGTTAAGGAACACAAATCAGTAACACTCTGGAAATTAAAAAAAAAAAAGGACCAACTCCAGCTCCAGTCCTTGTTCATTTCACATCTGAGCATTCCTTAGAAAATAAATAAAAGAATGAATCAACTTAAGATAAGATGAATAAGAGCTTCTAGGTAGCTTATATTGCATATTATGATATTTGAGAAATGCGCTTAAGATAATTTAGCTTATTTTCTCGCTGCAATATAGAAACTCAATTAAAATAAACTAATAAAACAAGAGATTGCATAAATTGTTTGGTAGTTGAAAAGAATTGATAATATGATAATTAATTTTAAAAGCTTGATTTATAAATAATGAAGTCTTTCCAGGACGAACATATATGCATTTTATCCAAAGCAAACATGATGGAATACCTGTGCCAACGCAAAACATTAGGACTATGAGAAAAATCACACTTCTCCACCATTGTTCAGACATCATCCGGTCTAACAAGTTTAAACAGATCAACCTGGAGTTCCAAATCCCTGTCATCCTCTCTACTGACAGAATCAGAATTAAGTCACATATTCAGCAAGAACAGACAAAAATTAAGAAGGTAAAGATACTCAAAGGCTTAAGCTCAAAAGGACCTGACAATAACAGATAAAGTAAATATCAAATATGGATTATAGCCACATTACCACAATCTTTCAACCTTCAATGAAATTAACAACTTGAACAGAAACAGTCAATTACAGTATAAGAAACAAATGCAGATAAAATGACATATAAACAAGAAACAAGCTATCACTGAACTCTGTTTTTTTTTTTTTTTTTTTTGATAGGTATCACTGAACTAAGTTTTCATGCAAGACAATCTAACATGAAACCTATCATCACCCATATCAGACAATAAAGAAAGAGGGCTATAGCAACCAAAGCCCTACCAGATACAAGGACCTAAAAAGGAAAACACCAAGTTAAATTACATAAATGGGTTGAGAAAATTCATAAAGTAATCAATAAGCACTACACTGTCTATGCACCTAATTCAACCACTGTCATAATTCATAAACATTGTCTTAAATCTGAAAAGTATACCTTACAGAATGCAAGGATAGCCTTGAAACAGAATGTACAGATAGTTTGGAGAGTTTCTTGATTATGAAAAAGATTAAAGAAAAAAGTGATAACAAGAAAGCTTTACTAAAACTGCCAATCAAGAGAAAGAAATAAATACGCAGGAAAGAAAAGTTAAGTTACCATGCTTTTGAAGTTCTGATAACTAGCATTGTTATGTCTAGAAAAAAAAAAAAAAAAACAATCTAAAGTTGCAAGAAATGAGATGAAATAAAATGCAATACCTATGATTAACAACACCTCTTCTTATGCTTGAAGTTGATAAGGCATAAAAGTATTGATTTACCCTATCTGTCTCTTCAAGAGCCACTAAGCATTTTACCTTTCCTAACCCAATCTTCCACAATTATAGAAAACACAAATATGGATGATCCTTTTGGAAAAGAAAATATAACAAAAACAAGATAAGTCTGTGTACATTATAAGCAAAACATCATTTAGAGACTTGTCAGGCTGTCATGAAAGGCAAGGCAATAAATGCACCCAAAAAAAAAAGGAAAAAACGGTTGGGCTTGACCAGCATTAGGCCATTAGCACACTAAATTCAGTATTAGCTATTGGAGGTGTTTTGTTAGTAAATGTGTTCATTCTGCACAAAAGATTTAAGGGTTCGCAATAAAACCCACACTGTACATTTATCTATAATTACAAAGAAAGATTGTCAGACCAAATAACTTAATGCCTCAGTTTACTCCCAAAACATAAACAAAAGGAAGAGAACCATAAATTGGCAACCTTTATTAACTAAGATGCACAACAACAGAGTGAATAAAGCAACAAAAGAAGCTCACCATCATTAAGTGGGTGAGTGAGAGAGAGAAAGGGAGAGATCAAGAAAACCACAAAGTAGTAATGAGGAATAAACATGAAAAAAACAAAACAAATAGAACAATAAGACAGGCACCTCATCGTTTAGACTTCCTTAATGTACTTTTCTATGGGAGCATATTCAACCACCAGTTTCTTGGATGATCAGATTACCAGAATACCTGGATTAATTAAAGTCTAAAGAGGCTCAACCTCGCTACAAGACAGGAATGTTTCGTAAATTGCGGAAATTAAGACGACAAGAGTAGATAATTGCAGAACAACTCCTTATTCGTGTGTCCTGCAAACTAAGTGTTTAGTACGCTTCCAGGAATCTGCTATGTCATTAGCAATCCACATGCTGTCGAACTTGCGGGACATAATTCTGGTATAGCAACTATAGTCAGCTTCAAGAAAGCTCCTTCTTAGCCTTATGCATCTGAAATTCCATATGTAATCTGACCATTTTCTAAAATAAAAAAGAGTAAAGAAATATGAAATGTAAAAATGGAACGAAGAAGATTAGTTGAATACTAAAACCCAATGCAAGAAGAACTGCAACAACCACAAAAATTGAGAAGAAGAAGAAGAAGAAGAACCAATCAGAACTAAAGACAAATTACTCATATATAGGAAAGATGAAGAAAGGGGTAGAGAAAGGGAGAACACGGGAAAAATATCCAACATAAAACAACATATACAGATACCAAAAACAATAAAAAAGGAAAAACATGAAAAGAATAAAGAGAGCAACTGAGCAAGAAAGAAAAAACTGTACCTGATCAGACTCCCCCAGCTCAGAGAGTCCAAGATATGGGCGTCCCCTCTAAAGTCTAAACCCTTCAAGACACTTGAACCAATAATGCTCTCCCTACATACACGCAGACAGGCAGACACCCACTTCACACAAATACTACGAAACGAGAATCCACTAACAAGCCACGAGGATTTTGTTCTAAATCCCAATGTAGAAGTAGAACCACGACAGCTGAACTGAACAGGCGTCAATAATAGCTACACCTAGCTTAATTTTTTTAGAGCAAATGAGCAATTGGTTCTTCAAACAGCCAAGTTTATACAAATAAATAAATACCCAACTCACTATTCCCACTTTAGACCCAAGATCCGTCTGATTAACAGCAGCAGATAAAATGGTGATTTCGTGTTTGGAATCTGTAAACCAGAGAGTCTGGAATTGGAGTGGACCCTGGACTTTCTCAGTGTGTTGGATTTGTCGCCGTCCATTTTTTATTGGGCGGTCGGAAGTAGAATCTGAGTGGTCTCCTTTATTTCCTTTTATCCTTTCTTGTCGTTTTTTTCTCTAACCTTTCCCCGTCCAAGTCAGATTTGTAGATTCTTCTTCCATTTTGCAAAGTGAAAACGAAGGGAGTAAAAAACGAGAACGGCAGGTACTCCAAGAAGAGTGAAAATAAAAACAATTAAATTACAAATGGTCATTTGCGATTTCCATCATTAACAAATACCACCCTCATGATGTTTCCCAAGTTACAATTACCCCTCTGGCCAGAACTCAAAATTATACAACACCCTAACATCAAAGACTTGGGATCACCTGCCAATAAAACAAGTTCCAACACTCTACCAACTTTATTCGACACCTTAGATCTTGCTATAAAAGTGGGATCCACCATGCCAATGTGCCATATATGAGATGTGCGGTGTCAAATGTTATTGGTAATGTGGGTGGTGAAACATATTTTGTTGGCAATTGATGAAGATTCTATGAATAAAACTGCATTTGGAATCGATGTTGGTTTTGTCGGCGTTTATAAGGAGTGCAAATCAAACTTAATATAAAATTCCACTGTTTGGATGGAGTGGAGTTTTATCTATCGATGTAAAACTTCATATAAATTAAAATTTTACATCGATGTAAAACTTTATGCTTTTCGATTGAAGCTCAATGGTCATTTTCTTTTCCGTTCAATGTATAACTTCATCGTGTACTTTTACACTAATGGTGTTTTACTTGAATTCCAAATGCATCCTAAAGGTTTTTGGATATTGACGATTTTCGCATGTCTAAAATTGGAATTTACATTGATGCCTCACAATATATTCCAACTTTGTATTGGGAACATTTCCCAATGATAAGTAGGGAGATGTTTCCAATGCACGTTAAGATGTGCCTATGAAACACCAATGTGAACTCCTAAAGTTTACCCTTGGTCATTTTTTTGAAAAAAAAAAAAAGATTGTGTGGTATGTAGACTTGTTTATGGGTCGGGCTTTATCTATGTATCAACATAATACATTCAAGCCCGAGCCCAAGCCCGGCCATAAATTTGAAAAAATATATTTTTTTATTCAATAAAAAAAGTGTTTTATTTATATTAAAAACCTTCAAAACTCAAAATAATAAACATCTCACTATTACTTGAAAAAAAAATGAGAAGAAGAACAAAGAAAAAAAATTGTATATATATATATATATATATATATATATATATATATATATATATATTTCATTAAATAAAATATTTTTTTTTATTATTTAATTTATAGTATCATGTTGGGCTCGAGATCGGGCCGAGTTTTTTTGACAAAGCCCAAGCCCGGCCCGAAAAAAGTTGGGCCTAGTGCTTTAGGCCCAAGCCCGAGAGCTCATGGACCTAAAATTATGACCAAGCCTAACTTATAAAAGGTCAGGCCGTCGGGTTACTCGGCCCATGAAGAGGCCTAGTGGTATGGAAAACTTTGACTTTAGTTAAATGTTTTGGAAGCATCTAAACCAATGATTTAGCTATTAAAGCCATGTTTGGAAGTGCTTATTTTTTAGCGGATACCACACGATTAAGCACTTAATGATGTTTGGGAAATAAGCCCGAAATAAGTGCTTATTTAAAAAATAAGTGTTCATTTTTTAAGCCCAAATTTCCAACTTTTTTAAGTGCTTATATAATAAGCGCTTATTTAGTATTTTTTCTCACATAATTGACCCGGATAAATTTTTAGAATACCAATTATACCCTTTTTACAAAAGCAATTTTACAAAGGCACTTTTATATAAGTAATTTTATGAAAAGTACTTTTACAAAAGTAAAGTATTTTTATGAAAGTATGTTCATTATATTGATCACTCAACTCTTTACAAAAAAGAGGCCTCTTATAAGGGAGGTCGAGCTCCTTACAAAAATATTAACAACAAAGATGAAGAAAAAGGAGCAAAGAGGATGTCCGGTGGAATCCTCGACCCCATGTGAGTGCCTTCATTCAACCTCAATGTCAATGTGCTTGTCATTGGCCACCTCTTGCTGAGTAGGATGCTCAGCACCGCCCTGGCTCTCGATCGGCCCCACCACCTTGGCCGCTTGTTGGCTTGGAGGTTGAAGCCCCAGCTAGTTGACATAAAAAATTGGGAGGAGTGCCAACACTTGAGCTTTGGTATCCTTGATGCCCTCCAAGTAAGAAGCAACACCAAACTTGGCCAACTCGTCCTTATAGGCCTTGGAGGCCATATACTCATCCACTACTTGAGTCGAGGCCTCTTGAAGCTTCCGCTCCACCTCATCCTTGGCAGCCATCAACTGTTCCCTCTTTGCCACCACTTTGGCCTTGCGCTTCTTGCGGCGCTCGTGCTCTCCACGAGCCGCCTCGGCAGCGGCCTCTCGACTGGCCCGCTCCTCGGCCAATTGATGCCTTAGCTGCTTGACTTCCTATTATGATGATCAGAGTTGCTGCAACAAGACCTCCACCTTATCGCACAAGCCGACGGCGCAGGAAGACGTTTGCAAAGACACAAAAAATCTTCATTAGTTGGAAAAACTAAGTCAAAGGAGTCTAGCATCAAGCAAATGAATATCAAAACTTACCTCGTCCAGTCCATCAAGCAAGGTATCCCGAGTGCCCTAGATGGAGACCTGGGTCTAGGATTGTTGATCCCCCTACCGGGAGCATCCCCGTCACCAAGGCTCGGCTAATGCCAGGGTTGCTGAGGATCGTGTGGCTAGTGGTATGTCGTCGCAGGGGTCGGACGAGTGAGGCCTTGATTGTCAGGACCTCCAACAACACCTTTAGGTCGACAATCCCTCATCACCAACCCCTTTGCCCTTTGTTCTTGAGGGGCATCTGCCGACCGCTTGGGAGTGGCTGCCCTCCTCCTCTTGGCCTCGGCTGGTCCCTAGTCACTCGCATGAGACGATCCTTCAATCCACCATCCATTTATGCAACAAGGAAAGACTATGTTAGAAGAAAGACAATGAAGCAATTGCCACACAGTTGCTAAGAAAGTCCTCAGTAATTAAGGTCGATGCCTCCACATAAATGCATAACACTCTCTTTGGCCGAAGTTGATGTCTCTACCTAATGCGCCTTTCGACGCCTCCACATAGCTACGTGGTACTCTCTTCAGCCATGTTCGAGGTCTCCCCTCAATGCATCATTTGACCTCGACCACTACAGCCCTGAGAGTAGGGGACAAGTGACATAGGTGTACTTGGCAAGCCTCGAATCACGCCATATGGCATCAATCGGATAGAATCTTGATCGCACATCTCTAATTACCTCCAACCACTCCATGGTGCAAGGTTAGATATAAAAGGGGGTGCTCATCTCAAAGTAAAGATATATTGCTTATACTTGCTCTATTGCATTCAAAATCTCAAGATATCTCTCCTTAGCTATTAAGGATTAAGCTATAATTCCTTGATCCAACCCCTCTTTTCTACTCTACCTCTACCCCTAGAATAACACCCACGACCTCTCATATATATTATTCTCCAACTTATAAGTCGGATCCGTCGGCCTCGGACACCAACTAAATTCGCTTGTTGCCTTCGGCCCCAAATTTTGGCAGCAACAATCATTCCGTCAAAAAAGGGAAGAGGACGCCGCCGCTCTCTCCTCGAGTATCCGTATTTCCTTCTTCCTTCGATCCTCTTTCCTGAGTTCATCTTGGCTTATTAAATCATTGGGTATATCTCGAGACAAGCAAATAATGGCCGTTAGATATAAGGCTAGACAGAGTGTTACTAATAGGATAATCACCGACCTATGCTGGTACAGTATATGTGTCATACACTATATCAAAAAAGAAAAAGCACCATAAAAAAGCACTTTGTTGTATTACAGATTTACAGGTGAAAACGATGCCGGTATTCCTCCAGAAAACACCTCACTGGAGGCTGAGGTATACAGAATAGAAACCGGCCAAAAATTTTCGAGGGAAAAGAAAGCGGGTGGGTTTGAAAGTTATACGTTATACACTTATACCCTATTTCGTAACGAATAAAAAAGAAACCGAAAATTCCCGCCCGTCATCCACACCACACACCAAGCGAGATCTCAAGTTGCAACGCTGACGTTCACATCCCACCTCTCCAAATCTTGGATCGTTGCTCTGGTAAGCAGTAAATCAACCATCTCTAATGTCTACAAATAAAAGCTCTTCTACTCATCTATCTTCTTCCTCTCCCCTCAATATGCAGTCTCTGCGATTGCTGCCGTTTGAGACGATAGTTGGAAGCTCTTATCCTTCATCGCGCCTCTCTACCTCCGCGTCTCCGACCCACATGCCGCCGGCGGACAGCGGAAGTCAGAGGCATTGCTGATTGCTGCAATGTATGACCTGTTTCTTATATTTTTACAAGATATTTGACAATCCCTAACAAAAACGCTAACTGTTTTTTTAGTTCATATCCTTTCTGTTGCTATTTATCAACGTTGGCTGCAATTCGAATGATATTTCGAGGTGAGCTATTCGTGCATTTCTATCCAATTCTCATCGTGCCTCGTTCAGAAGTTTCGGCCATATTTGGTTCGCTGACAAGGGGCTCATTCTTACTCAGAAACGAAACGACCAAGAATGAATATCATAATAACGTTTCGGTACAAAATTCTTGCCATGTGCCTAATTCTTTCTGGAATGAAAGACAGGTTCATGGCAGAAAATTCGACGTAACTTGCAGCACGAAAAATAATCGTGCCGCAATCTGCCGAGCTCATTCTTCCTTCGTCTCTCGTCGTAGATTCTCTCTCTCTCTGGTTAATCGTACTTCACCGTGGTTTCTCTCTCTGTTAGGGCTATTCGTTAGAGTTTGTATTATCTCCTACCGGTAAGAACTCTAGCTCTCGCTCTCCCTTATCCATCTCTCTCTCACGCACACACAGCTAGGGCTAATCGCAGGTATCGGGTTTGTGTGTTAATGTTCGTTATGCTTGATTTGATATTTGATAGAATAAAATTTCTTTAGGTAAAAAAGAAAAAAAGTGTTTTTTCTTTTACGACTTCAGGGTGTTTTTGACGAAACCATTGCAAGCAAAACTTAGAGGGTAGCCGTTTGAATGATTTTTGGTAGCACAAAAACAAGAAAACTTAACTTAGCACTGGCTACCCCGTATGAGGCTAGTCGATGAAGTAAAAGTAAATTAATTGCGTCAAATTGCAGATATGGAAGAAGAAGCAGAAGATATGCATTTTTTTTGTATGATTGGTTGTCTCAAGGCTTCAGGGAAGGAATTTGGCATGCCTTGATATTTTCTCTGAAATTTTCTGTATCTCTTTCAAATAAGCTAATATCTTATTATTCTAATCTCATGGATTGTTTGTTGTCTCTCACTGAGATCCTTGGTTTATGCTAAATTCCTACATGCCCAGTTGATGAAAATTGGATTAAGTAGTAATACTTTTCTGGGTAACCATTACATGGATCTCTATTCCAAATTAGGCACTATTAATGATGCTGTGCAAGTGTTTGATGAAATGAAATACCCAACAAGAATTATATTATGTTGAAGGTTTCATTAAATATGGGCATCTTGAGACTTGAGAGGCATGTGGTTTCTTTGGTATTACGTCTGAGAGAGATGTTATTAGCTGCTCAATGATTTCGGGCTATGTTGCAAATGGACTGGATAATTCTGTATGAAGTTTTCAGGGAAATGCAAAGGGTTGGTGTAGGACCTGGTGCATTTACATTCTCGTTTGTGATGTCCTTTGTTTGGTCTGTCATCATGGTAAGCAGATTCATGGGTGTGTTATTAGATGGTTGGTGGTTTGAGTTCATCCAAAGCAGTGATTGGAAATTCTTTGATTGACATGTATGGGAAGTTCACTCTTGTTAGTTATGCTTTCAATGCATTTATTTCAGTGAAAGAATTTGATATTATTTCTTGGAATTCCTTTATTTTTGGGGTTATAAAAATCAGGTTATGGAGATTGGGCATTGGATCAGTTTTGATTGATGAGATCTGCTGGATTTTCCAGACCATTTCACAATGTGAATGGTGATTACCATTTGTTCCAACTTCCAACTTGTTAGATTTGGAAAAGGATTGGAGTATTCGCTTTGGGTTTTTGAAGTACCTAGATGGGTTTCCTCACATTACAATTCCATGATCTTACATCTTAGGTTATGCAAGACATGGGCTTGAACCTTTGAATTTTACTTAAAAAAGGGTGTTTTGTTTATATATGTCCTAGATTGTTCCTTTTCTTTTCCATTAAAAAGTTGTATGTGTGCATGGATTCATGGACCATATTTGTATAAAATAATGGCTTGTAGTTCTTTTATGAGGTTATGGATTGAGGTGAACATCTATATGTGTGTGTGTGTTTAAAAATTTAGGTATATGCTTTTTCTTGGATTTTATATTTCCTTTTCTTTTTTGTATAGTCGTATATTCCATTTGCTGATAGTATCCTATTAGCTTTTTGTTATCTAATGAAAGAGGCACACCTCCCTCATTGTCAATATTATGTTGGATTAGAATTCTCTGACCAAGACATTGTTTTTAGGGTCCAATCTAACTCAATTTTTCCAAGGGGTGCAACTTGGGTGGGCTTGGGTTGGGGTTTTGTCAAAATTTGAATGGACCCAACTCAAAGCCCAAACTTGAAGTAGTGTAAAATGTTAACTTAGGTCAATATGAGTTGTGCCCCTAATTTTCCTGTTTTGTGTTTTTTTATAATTTTCCTTTAGTTATTGATAAAAAAATAAATTTTCTTTTAGTTGGTTTTAAAGAGTTATAGGTGCTAATTGCTTCCTTTGAATTCTCTTTTATATTTTTCTCTATGCAACCAAATGCAAAAGCTTTCTTGGTTTCTTGTTTTTATTACTTTTTCAGATATTCTGTTATTGTGTCCTTGTTGATGCAAATCATGCAAGTTCCTCTTTTAGATGTGGCATTAGTGCTGTATTTCCATTATTTAATAAGTTATGGACCATCCACTTCATGTGGATTTCATGTCTTGAGAGGGGACTTCACTCTATTCTCCTAAAAGGCCCGAACTTCAAGGGCTCTACTGTCTGGGTGTGGGGAATGGATCATAATATCCAGTTGATGATGTTCTGACCCCTTAGCAGCTATTCATCATACTGAGTTCCCAAGTTAGCTTTCAGGCTATTGCCGGTGTTCCTACACCAAACAGCAAGCATCTAATTTCGAGAACTTCTTAAGAATCTGTTTTGTGATGGGTCAGGGCAATGTCCTCACATGACATTGGAGGTTGTCCAAAATCAGTGGAATAAGACTTTTTGAAAAATTTCATTGGAGTAAACAATGATTCAGGAGAGGAGCTCTTTGCACAAAAACTATTACTAGAATTTCATGGAAGCTACACTCTTCAGCTGAAGGGTCTTACTATTTGACATCAATCTTGGAGATATTATCTTCCAATCAAATAGTGTTCCTTAAAGAAACATAGTCTCCGTTGTTCATCTAAGGATGATGAATAAAATCTAAGGAGGATGTACTCCAACCTTTCTATAGGCCCCAACTCAATTAAGCCTTGTCCCAACTATATGTGATTGTTATATAAATCCTGATCCTTTATTCCGCTCTGTTCGGTGTCATATCCATTGTTAATTTATGTGCCTCAAGTATTTTCAAATGGAACCATGAGTATTTTCAGTGGCATGTCCATTGTAATTTTTGTTTTGCTTCTAATTGCAATCATTTGAGAGCTCAGGATGAGATTATAAAGAATCACTATAGTTTACTTTCACAGCATTAGAAATTTGATATTTAGGTGCAGAAAGGTTGTTAGGCATAGTGATAAAATCTTGTCTGGAAACATACAACAGAAAACATTAGTATGAATGTGAAAGAGCATATAAACTACAAAGTGAAAAGAAGGAATTCCTATTTTCTTAGAAGGGAGACAAATACCTTGCATGCTATTATGGCATGTAAGGATTTGCTTCTTTTCTTTTCGTTTTTTTTTTTATAATTTTTCTTTCTTGTTTTTTCTGTAGGTGGTCTAGCTAGGTAGACAACCAAAACTTTGAGTTGTGTTCGTGGTCCATGCTTTGCTGCTGTTTTCTATTCTTTGTTTTTTTTGCCCCTGGGATTGGCAACTTGCCTGTGCTACTGTTATTGGAGTGCTTCCCAAACACCTAGCTTTGCTGGCGGAGCCAGGATTTATTTTGGGGGTGGGGAAAATTATATTAATAATTTAAGCAGGGATTGTGGGGAACTTTGAGGTATGGGGGGGGCAGATTATATTGGTTATGTACTCTAGACCTATTGGCCAAGGTGAAACAACTAAGTCTAAACTCCTAGCTGTACTCCAAGGGTTAAAGGTGGGGAAATATTTGAACTAAAGTGTTATAGTGGTGGAAGGGGATTCTTGTGTAATTATCAGATAGCTGAAGAACAGTCCTGGAACTTGGAGCATAGGAATGCATTGAAAGAACTGCAGTCTGGCCACATAACTGAAATCTTCCTCTGCTTGGATGTAATGTCAGCCAATAGCATAACTGCAGTCTGGCCACAGTTAATAAAATGAACAAGTTACCAGTAAAAAAATCTAAGCTGAATCTATCATTAATCATTAATGGCATGTAATTCTATTAAATTCAACAGTTTATTGGAACCAAAACATTTGAGTGCTTAATTTCTCATGTACCAGATAAAATCAATGGTTTTGATATTTTTTAGTTATAAAAAAAATCTAGATCATGTAATTTCTCATTGGACAGTTAGAAGAATTTATTAATTGTTAAGTAAACATTATACAAGATAATAGTTATGTCATGGTTGTGGTGGCTAGGCGATAAGATGTTTGTTTATGGGGTCCACCTTATGCCTTGCCTTGGTGTTTTTATATGGAAGGCATGCCAATTTTGGTTATAGTGCAGCTAAACTATATCATATCGTGTAAAAAAGGTAAAAGGGCATCATAAAACCTATGTTTCAATTAGAGGGCCATGAAATGGGTTTAGAGCAAACCCTGATTTCAATGGGATAGAGGGATATTTCATTATTAATTCTCTTTCATGTTAGATCTTTTTTATGTTTTTTTTTTTTTTTTTTTGCTGCTTAATACTTCAACTAGGGGAGCAGGTTGACTAATAAAAAAGCTAGGGAAACAAGCTAAAACTAATCTTGTTTTTACTCGGTGGTAAGGCATTTCTTTGTTGCTTAGCCTTTCTTTGGTGGCTTTTACAACTATGATTTATCATATTATTGTTTTCCTGAACTAATTTTCATTATTTACTGTGTTGGTTCATTGTTTGTAGTAAGAAGGTTAACCTTTTGAATAAAGGATGTATGGAAAGGGGGCATCTCAACTGTTGAAAGAACTCTCCTCCAGTGAACCTGGGCAACTCAAGAATTTTAATGTAAGTCTGTACTTTTTTTGTTTAATATTATGCCTTTAACCTAGCTAAATGCTAAATTGTTATTTTACCTACTTCTGCCTTTAAGTATGATATCAAGAAAATTTCATGACTGGCCCCTAAAGTTTTTGTGTTAAAGCAATTGGAAGTGTATTTTAAGTTTTAGAAGTAAGTTTTTGTTCTATTGGATAATGAAAATCTCCTGCAAGAATACTGACTATTTTCTTGGCGATTGGCTTTGGGATTATTCTGACATGTCAAGAAGAAAAAGCTTTTTTACCATTAACTTGCAAAAGGATTTTTCTAAGCTTTTTTCCCTTTAATTCTTATTTGGGTAGTGATGTTGGACATAAATGATTAGAGTGAAAGAAATATTGATAGGTGACCATGAAACTTTGATTAATTATAGAAAGAATGCTGAGTATGGTACAAGCACATATACTAGCACTGCTGTTTGCTCCCCATGTTTTTGTATATGTTGATACTAGTTGGTTAACCCCAATACAGATTTTCCCTGTTGACCTCTTGTCTAGAAATTTTTGAAAAATTTCCTTGATATCCACCCAGAAGAAGACCTTGTTCCTTGCAGGGAAAGATCATATACAACATGTCCAGAGTTTGGACTTCATACAACCGGAGTCAGACCTTGATTCAAGCCTTTGGGGGTTTGAATAGCTCTTCACTTCTCTTTTCTTCCTAGGTAGGTAGGAGTTAGGGATTCATTCTTCTTGCATTTCTTGAGTCTAGATTGTAGACTCCCTTTTCTTCCACTTGATCATACTAAGACATAGGAAATACATGGAAAAACAATATAATAGACTAAATATATAGAATTTCTAAAGCAGAAAAGCATGAAACAAAAATAAAAGCAATATAATAGATCAAACACATTGTATATAAACAACAGAAATATATAGGTAAGAGTAAAACAATGAGGCATAAAAGAGCTCTCTTTTTGTGTGGGTTGTAGTAGAGATTCTCTTGACTTCATTTGAAACACCTCTGTCTTTTTCTCTCCATCTGAGAAATTGTTATCATGGTTATAGCATTGATACCTAATATTGTATGATAGTTATGCTATTCTTTCCTTTTTTTAGTGCTTTTCAACTTATGAATCTTCAGTCTTTTATTTGGTTTTCCTGAATGTCTTTAATATTAAGGCCCCGTTCTCTTTTTGGGAAGTTACTTATGCGGGTAAATGCACTTAACTGGGTAAGTGTTTCCTGGGAAATATTTATCCGGGTAAGTGCATTTACCCATGTTCTTTTATTTCCCAAATAAATAAGAAAATGACTGTTTTAGCCATAAATCTTAAAGTTACTTACCCAAATAAATAAGAAAAGGGACAAATTTGTCCCATCCAAGTGTTGGCAACTTTCCCCCAGGTGGGAAAGTTACTTACCCACCTGAGTAAGTGATACCCAGGGAAAGTACATTTTCCATGACATAAATCTTAAAAAAGAACATGGGTATCCTGGTCAATGTGAACCAAAATCCCATTGACCAACTTTCCCCCTCTCAAAATCCAAAAATGAATGGGCCCTAAGGAGTGATAGGGACAGGATCCCTTGGGCCTTCTCTTGGCTATCCCATCTTGTAGTTTCCCTTTCTCAATATTTTGTTAATTGTTTTGCATTTTTTTGGTGATAATACAGACTGATATATTTGAAGAAGTGATCAAAGAATGTATTACACATCACCTTGCGCTTCAATCATTGATGAGGTACATCCAATCTTTGTTGATGTGTTTTTTTTCTTGAATTTTGTTCTTGGTTTTCTCAATCATGGAGGCATGTTGTTTTCCGCTATTTGTTCTTTGGGACATTTACACACTAAATCCCTTGCAAGTTTCTCATTCCTAGTTTGCTTAAAATGGGAAGTCATTCCATGATATTCCTATGGTAGGCTTTTGTCATTTGCAAGTTGTAACCTTAGCAAAAATTTAGCTAATAGTTTCTACTAAAAATTTGGGTAGGAAAAAATTCTATTCTATTTGTGACCAACTGGAAACATCTTTGGATTATATGTTCTTTATATCCTTGCTTAGGATTAGACACTTTTGATCTTTTTCATGCATTCATTTTCTTGGAATGTTTACAATGTGCTTTTTTCATTCAACCATTCGACCTTTCGATGATGGGAATGCTTTAGAGAGTTGAGATTTGAGACATAGTATTATTGATACTTAAAAGTTGGTTTGGGCTATGAATGATATGGGAGTGGTGGATTTTGTAACATCTGTCTAAGATTATACTGGTTGAGCTCCATAAATGTTGCAGTTCTTTGAAATCAAGGGAAAGCGGGTGTACTTTCTGAACTTCTAGTTGTTTCTTTTTTGATTTCCAAGGCATGCCATTTGACTAATTTGTTGGAAGCTATTGGATGAGTGCAATGTTCTGTATCCCTACCTTTAATTTTTTGCACTTCTAATAATATCTTTCATGCATGTCACTGTGATATGTTATAACAGAAAAATCCAGGAAGAAGGATTGGACATTCAGACAACAAGAAATGCTGACCACTTTGGTGCTGTTATACACCACCTTTCTTTAATGCGCAATAAGCGTTGCCTCATGGCCTATGTGTAATTTGCTATACTATCATATAAACTGTTTTTGTTTGTTTTGCATCATTTGATATCTAATATTAATGCCTTGCTCAGCTTTTCACTTTTGATTTTGTATGTATATAGATATCACCGTGCAGAAATCATCCAGAGCCTGAGGTGGAAGGTGGGACCTGTGCTCCCAGAAGAAATTCAGGAAAAACTCAAATATTCTGAGGAAGAGTATTTCAGGAATCACTCAGCAGCTCTGATGGAATATATTTCTGAGCTAGATCTTGATTTGACTGTGGTACCTCTCTATCTAAGTAGTATACATCTATCTTGTGTTTCTTATTTGTGTTAATGCACATGCATTTGAGGGTTTCTGTTTTTGCATTGTGGGCTTTTGAAGCATCAATGATGTTTCTTGCCATATGAAATGGTGAACTCCATTTCCAGATTGTTCAGTTGATCAGGACTTGGTTAACAATGGGCATCAACCAAAACACCTAAATGTTTACAGCTAAAATAGGCCTAAGAAGGCTAATAGCCTGGATGACCTCCCAGCACAGAACTACATATTAGAGGAGAACCCAAAAACAAGGCTTCCAAAAGATGTTATTGGCTTAATAACATATCCTTGTGAAAGTAAACCATAAAGCAGGAAATGAAAGAAAATTAAGTTATGGGCTAGGGTGGGGTTGTAACTTCATTTTCTTTTCAATGAACAGGGGTAGTCAGCACTATCGCTTTTTTTCTTTGTATTTTGCTAACCAAAATTCTGTATATGGTACAAGATCCTTTTTCAGCACTAAAGTATCTTTTATTGTTTCTTGTCGCGGGGGTGGGGTGGGGGGGGGATCAAGTTTGCCAGATGACAAGTAGCCAGCATATCCTTATTACATTACATTCAACTTCAGAAGAAATGATCCCTGGTTACCACTTGTTTCTCCATTGGATCAGCCAACCATTTTCTGATCTTTGTGCCTAATAGAAGGTGGTTCACATTTCACTTACCAAGAAACTTATTTCCTTCATGATATCTCTGTATAGCCACGGTCCTTGTTTGTTGCACCAAATCCAGCTCACTACCACCTTTAAGTCCCCTTCCACCACTACATTCCTCTAGTTTAGTGATCTTCCACTCCCAAGCCATGTAGTACCACTAGCAACTCAGCTTTTATGTGATATCCATACTCTAACAGTCCAGAATGCATGGCGAGAATGGTCCCATGTTCTTTTCTAAAAGCCCACCTATGCCTGATGGTCCTGGGTTTCCTGTACTACAGCCATCAATGGGAACAACATTTTTTGGGAGACTCCATTGGCTGGGGATTGATGTAAACCCAACCTGATTGAATCAGAGACATATGGGTCTATCAGCTCCGTGCTGTTTGTACCGTCTTCCTTGTATCTTTCGGGATGCAAAGTTGTTCTTTTGCACAATTAATACAATTCATTGTTACCGATTACAAAAAACGTTTAGGTTAAATACATCTGATTATTATACATGATTGATTTGTCACTGAATCCTAATTAATAGTAGTCCATATTAGATAATCTCTCCTTTACCCTGAAGTTTTTTTTAGAATAAAATAAAGTTAGGCTTAAGACCTTCCACCAAGGTCAGTGGCACTAGATCATAACCTCGTGTGGGCATGGCCGAGGCTCTTGTGTGTCCTTTCTGGTCCATGGGAGATGTCACTCATGTGCCAAAGGGGGGCTATGCTGATGTTGATGTGCTAGGCAACTGCTGGGCCTTTGAACACACCCATGCACTTGGACAACAGGGTAGCTTGATCAGTTTAGACATGGGGCTGGCAAGGTGTAGGGGCATGCTTAGGCAAACTCACAGTCCTACATGCAAAACTTCCGCTTTCTGGTCCATGCATTGTCCCCATGAGGAACCCTAGCAACCACATAGCCATTAACTAGGGCTGCCCTGCAACTGCAAGGGATGTTGGGTCTTGAGAGTGCCAAGGTCAGGCACCCAAGGTTGACCACCCCTCCTCAAAGAGGACATTAAGCATTTAGTGATCTCCCAGAAAGAAACATCATTTTTCCCAAAAATCATATTGAGTAAAGTTACAATAATGCTACTCAACACAGCCCACCAAGCGTAGAGGTGTAAAATGGGCCGTGCGCCCGTGCGGGCCCGTGCCATGCTGCGGGCTTGGGCCGGTTGGGCTGCAGGTCGTGCTGGGCTAGGCCGGGCCTTGGGAGTGGGCCGAATTGGCCAAACTGTTTTTTTTTGTTTTTTGACGTTTTTTATTTTTTTATTTCTTTGCCAAGTAAAACTAAAATATTTAACTTTCCTTTGGGAACTATTTGAAAAAAATAAGAAATCTAACAAAGAAATGAAAAAAATACTTAACCAAAAGAAGTCAAAGAGACAAAGACTCAAAGTGAATAACAAATTGGAAGAAAATATGAATTTTATTTCATTTAAATTTGAATGATACAAAGCATACAGTGGTTGGATAAATGAAATATGAAAATTGGAAAATAGAATAAATTAATAAAATAAAAAAATACAATATAGTTACAAATTGAAAATGAAAAAAATATGTTATTAAAAATATCAAATAAATTAAAACAAAAGTTACAATAATTTGAAAATTGCTATACAACTATTGAGTATGCAAAAAATATTTTCATCATTTTCTCCTATTGTTCTTGACTTTGATAATCTTCTTAAGGTGAAACATCAGGTGTACTGTCATGCCCTCCTTTGGGGATCCCCCAAAATACATAAATACCCCCTATATAGCTGTTTATAGTTGTTGGGGGTATTTCTGGAAAAAACCCATTTATCGGGTGGGCTGAGCGCGTCTTGCTACGTGCTCGCGGGCCATGCTGTGCCGGCCCGTGGACCTGGAACCCTAGGCCCAACATGGCCCAGACTATCATGCTGGGCCTGGCACAGCCTGTGTGCCGTCGTGCTGGCCCAAATTCGGGTCGGGTTGTGTCGGGCCACGGGCGGCACGACCCGATTTACACCTAACCAAGTGTAGGTAGACTAAGTCTGCGCTATGACCATGATATAAATATATATATATATATATATATAAACTATCAGTGGGTGAGATGTCTATCGAGAATTCTTTTGAATTGCTTGACTTTCACACTTTCTCCTAGTAGTCTTTCTCCATTAAGGATTGGTGTAACTAATAATTATTTCAATAAGGAAACTGAAAGTTGTTCTGGTAATTTGTTTTATTTTGTTTTTTAATCATATTACTCTAGTGATCTAATGTTAGGTTCTCGAATTATTCTTTTCATTAGTTCTTGATTTCTAGTTTAAATTTTGAATCTTAACCTGATTTATTGATTGATTTTTGGCTCTGTTACTTTATGACAACCTAATGGTGTATGTGCGGTCCTCTGCATCAGATTCCAATCTTTCTGAATATTTGTTTTTGCCCTAGAGCAGCCCTTAATTTCCTGGATTATTTTTTAGAATGAGCTGTAACAAGGAAATAATTTTTCAAGTGGTTGTGAACTCAGCATATGAAAGGCATACATGAATGCGTACCCATTTGGCATTTTTAGGGTGTGACGTGAACCCATTCTGGGTATTTTGGGTCATTTGGACCTGTTCTTGGTTGCCAGTTCATCTACATCTCTAATGAGACAGCATTCCATAACTGTCCCGTCTGAACAGCAAGGCTTGAACATGTTTGTTTCTGCCTTTGTACTTATCTTTGTTCATATCAATGAACCTTCCAAGCATGGATGTTCAGAACTAAGAAAAAATTTTAAAGATGAAAGGCAGAAAGAGCCATTTTCAAAAATGGCCGAGCTTGGTTTAGAATTGATTCTATTGAATATGCTGCTGCATTTACGATCCTCCCACCCTCCACCCCTAAACCCCCACACTTTTTTTTTTTGATAAATAACCCCCACACTTAACAAAAAGGGGGAAAAGCAAACAAAAACAAAAATAAATGATTTCCATCTATTTGTGATCAGCACTCTTCAGATTTTTCTCTTGCATTTGTTGGCATCCTGCCAAGTGCCTATGGCCTTGAAGCTAACTTTTCCTAATTAAAGAGTATTCCCATACATTTACCAGGATATGGTACCGCCAAAAGATCCTTACATCCAAGTCAGGGTCCTTGATGATATTGGATTTGCCCTGGTTGGTGATCAGTCACTCAATCTCACTCTCCACTCAATGCACTTTCTTAAGCGAACAGATGCAGAACAGTACATCTCACAGGTGATTAATTGATTATCAGATCTCAAACCCTTGATTCATTAGAACTATCGCAGTTAGGGGCACCCTTTCGAAACATATGAATGGGGTCAACAAGTTATACTTGTCAGCCCTTCAACCGAACAGATGGGGTTCTCGTTATTGCTTTTTAATTTTCTAACATCTTCATTTTGTTTTTCATGATTGGTAGGGCTTGATGGAGGATCTCTCGGGATCGTAAACCTGAGCGATTAGTTCAGAACTTCAAAATTTGGAGCCAGGGTTGGCTGAGACCTGCTTTAGTACCTGGTAATCTGGTATGGTAACTTGGGAGCAACTGGGCGAAACATGGGCGCCAAGTCTTTGCCAGTCTTTGCCACGATTTGACTGGTCGGCAACGATTGTTGCAGGATCCACGGCTCAAATTCTCGAATGCTTCGTAGCCTTGTTTTGTGGTTACATATTTGAAAGAAAAGAATCTGCCTCTTATCTAATCGAATAGTGTTATTTTCATTTGGCAAGGTCCTAATTGAAATTAGGGAAGCAACAATTTATATCTAAATCTAAAATTATACTTGCTGGGACTTGATTGTCCATGGACGTTCTCTACATTTGGCTCGTCAAGAAAACAAGAATGTGAATGGGAGAAATTTCCTAGAAAGTACTGCCTCCACTGGTTGGACCTGTCAACCTCAAGGCACTATGTTATGGGTGACACTTTTGACCTTACCTGGCCCATACCCGCCCCAATGGAATTTGGAATTTATCCTCAGAAGGTCCATCCCCACACCATCATACAGCCTTTCAACTGTGAATTGGGAACATTTCCAAACTTGGTTCTACAAGAATCAGAATTTTTTTTTCTTCATAAATTTGGTTCTCACACCATCCTCGTAACTTTTTTAGCATGCATTGGAAACATCTTCCCATGATCGAAAATATGTTGGTATGATGATGTTTCCCATGCATGGCTGCAAATTTTGTAAGGTGAGGGCCAGTTTTGTGAGAACAAAATCTGATCTCATATTCGTAGTGAGATATTCCTAATGCATGGAGCCTTTTATCATTTATCATTTTTTTGTTTTGGAAAAACACTTGGGATGAGATGGGTTTGAGAGTACTACAACCTTACTGGTATAGATAGAATAAAGTATTTGGCTAAATGTAACCCTTCCTAATATAAGCCACGTGAGCTTACAATATATTGAATTTAATAATATTTTGAATCTCATGTAATGTATTTTCTGAAGGTGGGGTAGGTTTTGCATTTTCATATGTAGGAAGGGTTTGGATTCTAAAAATCCAACCTACTGCAGGTTTTGAGAAGAGTATGGATTGAGAGATAAAAAGAGTATAGAATTTATAAAACCCTCTTCAAGCCCGCCCAGTTGCCATTCCAGACTCGATTGATTAACCTTGCAAACTGCAGGATGCAAGCAAGCAGTACAACGAGGCAGCAGGTCCCCAAGGGGTTTTGACCATGTAAAAAATTAAGCATATATTGAATTATCCATTTTGTTCAAAACAAAGGAATTGGACTGTACCTCATCATTATCATATCGGGAGCAAGTGGCCTATAAATTCACACTTTGGGACGGAATGGTTCAAAATTGAGATTTGATTTCTAAGTCAACAAGAGATACCATTTAGATCCGTCAACCTCGAGTCATACAAGGTCTATACTTCCATAGTCCAGACCCGTCTATTTATTAGGCTTGCCATTGCACAAGCTCAATAATCTTTATATTTTCTCTTCTCCATTTGCAGGATTGATTCTCTTTAGTAGTTCACACAACTACTTGATCATGTGCCATACGAGAAAAGAGAAACTGTTAAGAGCTAACAAGTACACAATAACTAGAAACTTGGGCTCAGTTTGGAAGGAGTACAAATACAAATATGTAGAGTGCAAATGCATACAAAATAGTACAAAATATAAGGTTTTGCACTCTACATATTTGTATTTGTACTCCTTAGTACAAATACAAATGTGTACAGTACAAATACATACAAAATACAAGGTTTTGCACTCTAAATATTTGTATTTGTACTCCTTCCAAAGTGAGCCTTAAGATCAAAATAAAATGAAATACATGCATCGAGCTTCTCTTAGGGATGACCAAATGGGCGATTGGGAGGAGTTGGTAACCAAGGCTCTGGAACAAAATATCTTGCATAGCATAGAAAGTAGAAACCTGAAAAAAATAGCATGTGTATTAAGTGTAAAATGGAGGAACCACCTAAGGTCATAACTGCTGCTAGGATGAGCACTCACGCATGAACTTTGCTGCAAAACAATTCAAGGATGCAATTCTAAAACATAAGCCACACCTATTCTTAACCGCAAGTTTTTTGTGCATGTCATCTAAGCCATGCTATCACATGGCACATCAGAATAGTGTAGCTTAATCTAACAGTTACATAGACATGAAACCGGAAATACAACATCAGGAAACTTGTAATGAGGAATTAAAGGCTGTTGCAGTATAGTGACTTCTGTTCCTGAGTGGGGTTTTTGTGTGTAGGGTGTGGGTGGGAGGGTGTAGAACTCTTTACCAGTTAACTCTTTCGCATCTTTTGTATATGAAATTTTTACCAAATCACTTTTAAGCTTGACTATGTAGTAAAAAGTAAGGCTGCAAGTCAGGTTCCCAAACTTGAATTTCAACTGCATCAGGCTCAGATTAGGGTTCAGGCCAATAGAAAACTTAATAAATTCCCACCCCAATCTGATTGAAGTTGGACCCCTAGTAAAAACAAAGTGAAAAGCCATTCATTAAAATTTGGTATGCCTCCACTTAACCATTCATGTTTTTGAACCCATAAAATTTATATAGGAAACCCAAATGGTAGCTAGGAATTTGCAAGGCATGTTTGAGGACTACAGACTGAGACATGATCGGGAAACATGATTGAAATCGGTTATCAAGGCACAAATCCTTCTTAGAGAAAGATCCAGTTTGCTTGAACAAAGGTAAAACAAAGTGTGAAATTCTATGTGCAACAATAGTAGAATACTAAAAAGAAGGAAAATCAGAAGTGAACAATAAAGCAAACCAGGAACAAAATACAGTGAAAGGGAAAAAAGGAAAAAAACTATATTAATTTTTTTTCAAAAAAAAAACTATATTAAAGTCACTATTTTGCATGCAAAAAATAATAATAAAAAAAAAGAAAAACACCAATCAATGTTCAAAGTGCAACTAGGAATTAAAAACTAGAAGCAAATACTCAAGATAACAACTTGACTATTGATTTCCATCTGGGGCAGACAGACTGAAGCATATACTTGGACAGTGACTTCCTGTAGAGTTGAAAAGAGGAAGAGAAAAGGATTTGCTTGGTAGAGTGGAAAGCAGTATCTACGCTGAAAGAATAGGGAAGAGTTGGAACGCAGCCTATAAGAATTATGGAAAAAAGAAACTCTCCTAGGAAAATAGATTTACATTGCAAGGAAGAAATTTAGAAGCTTATGAAGAGGGGAAGAAAACGAACTCTTAGTAGTGTGGATGGAAATTACAAGTAGTAGTGGGGAATTATCAATTATGGGATGAATGTATAGGAGGGAACAAACAGGCAAACATTGCCAAAGGATTTCAGGATGCTGGTACCTTTCTGGCACAACCTCTAGTGTAATGACAGACCATTTAGACTCCTATCCTAATTTGTTCCAGTCAACAATTAACAAGAAAAATCATACCCAAAAAAGAATACAGTTATTAAAAGGAAGAATGTAGATTGTAGATAACTGAGAATCCGAGCCTCTTGCAAGAATGCTATTCACCCATTACCTTCAGGAGAAGATAGAGACTTCTGATCACTCAACCCCCAAATAGCACGCTTTTCAGTAAGGCTTAGTTTGGAAGGAGTACAAGCATAGTTGTCAAGGCGCCCGCCTAGGCGACAAAAATGACAAGGCGGACGCCTTTTATAATGTCATTTATATTGATGTATCTTATTAATGTATGTGTTAATACATTTTATTATATGCTATATATATGTATATATATATATATCAATTATACTTTGTTTTAATGTTTTACTATTGAAATTTAAAAGATCAAAGGGTTTTGAGGAGAGAAAAAGAAAGAAGGAAAGAAAGAAAAGAAAGAGGAAAGAAAGAATAGAATA